ACAACATGCTGACAAATTTGGGGGCTGAGAACCTGTATTCTCCTCAAGAAGAAACCCAGTTCTTGGTGGGAACACAGAACATCATGGGGATGGTGCTTCCGCAGTCACAGTTCACGGTGGGGGTGCCGACTACTACACACGGTTAGACAGCAGCTACTGATGGCAGCTCCGCACAGCAGACAGCAGAGCAGCGGCGACAGAGGGTTAGGACACGCGGACGCGGGGTTAGTGAGAAGCCACCAGGAACCCCTGCTGGACGGGGGGTGGGGGGGGGCACACAGAGGTGGCAAGGGCTGTCCTAGACATCTGGGCCCCTCGAATGCCCAGGTGGGGGGCACGCCACTGCCACCAGCGTCTCCCAGCACCGCCCCCGGACTGGGCTGCCAGGCGCCCCCTGGACAGCGGGAGACCGCCACTCTGGGTCCCTGGCCCCTCTGCACCTCCAAAGACGAACTGCCTTCTGAGACTCTGAGCCGAGTTCACTCCAGGTGACCCTCGCCGGGTTCTGGATTCTGTTTCTGAGCGAGGAACCCATCAGTCCTGCTCCACGTGCAGTTCCTTCCAGAAACTGCATCAAAACCCCAGGTAACCGCACGCTGGAGAGCCAGCTGGCAGGACCTCCCACCGACCCAGAGCCCGCACGCCGGGTCCTCTGCCACCCGAGCCACATTTCGCTCCACCAGTGGCCCAACGAGGGTCCTCCCACCCCAGTGCCCGGGCCTGTGGGGGTCGGGGCCACCCCAGCACCCGAGAAGCAGGCGGAACTGATGTTCTGCGCCAGCACACGCGCATCCACTCCCACACACCTCGGGGGGCACCAACATGACAGGGAAAACACACTTGCTTTACTGGGGTCAGTTTGCTCACTAAGAAAAACCGAAGACAACTTTCCAACATTCAGAGGAAACACAGTATCTCAGGTTGCTCTCCGTCACTGTCACCGAACAAGGGCAGTCTGCACAGAGGAGCCAGAATAAGGCACAGCTGAGGGGGTGGAGCAGACCGTCCGCACCTGGATGCAGACCAGCACCTGCGCTGCCCGCTGCAGGAGGGTCTGCAATGACCAACCACCCCCAAAGCGCTGGCTCCCCAAGGGGAAAGGAGATAGCACGCCCTCCTGGCGAGGCTGCTGTGCCTACAGGATGAGCTGGGAAGCACCTGGCACAGGACAGAAGCCCCACCCCACACCCCCTCCTCCACACCCCGGCGGCACAGCCACGGGACCCTGACGCGGGACCAGCTCTACAAGGACCCTGGTGCTGCCCACTCCTAGCTCCTGGGCTTCTGGCCTCCAGAACTGAGAGGACACACTTATGTTTCAGCGCCCCCAGCCGGTAGTACTTTGTTACAGCAGCCCCGGGAAACTAATACATCCTCCGATTAGTTACAAGTTTCTGCTCTCCCTCTATGCATTCACCCAGGATGCTCTCCCTCGCTTGCTTGCTCTTCTCCTCTCCCTCTGTCTCTCTCTCTCTCCCCCTTGTACTTGCTATGGTCTCTGGCTTTGCAACCTTCGGCCAAGAACTTCAGACCTAATTTTCATCGCCTCTGTAAGGAGAGGCCATTCTTTTTGACATCTGTAAGGCCCCTTCCAATTCTAAAATCACCTCTTCACCACCCTCCCCCCAAGATACAGTGTATCTTTTCAATATTTTACACTCGCAAGCATCAGCCACTTGCAATTGGCTTGTATAATTTTTTCAGGTATTATACTAGTACGTGCAGGAAAAAAAAACAAAATGAAATACTTATACGCATTTGCCATGAACCCAAAAGTTCAGTAATTAGATAGAAGCCAGCCAGGAGCTTCAGCACCCAGGTTGGGAGGAAGTGAGAATGTGAGCAGAAGTTATAAACGTGTCAGGTGAGACTGCAGCGGGCTCACCCGACCGTGGCAGCTGGGCGCTGGAGAAACAGGGTCTCACCGGTGAGTGGAAGAATTTAAAATTCTTTTTCTGCAGCCGACCTCGGAACCACAGAGGGAAAGCCTTGGGGGGAAGCGGGCGGGCGCCAGGCTGGACCTCAGCAGGCAGGGCCACCACTGCCGGCGTTTTAAACCCAAGCCCTGCGTCTCACCCCAGCCAACCAATTACTTTCTACCAGAGTCTTAGAGGGCACCACCCAACACCACCCAGTTTCATTCTTAAGGCACATCTGACAACTGCCTGTTTTATAACCCAAATTCCAGTTACCTTCCTGCAGGCTCTTTCACCCAACTTTGTATTCCCAGCATATAAGGCGCAGCCTGGCCCAGGGCCCACCCTATAAGTGTTCCGTAATGGTGTTCCACCTGCTCTGACAGCCACATGCCATTACCATTAAGTGCTTTTCAGGGATAATTTTATGTTAGAAAGAGTCCCTGACCGCTCCAGAAGACATCGACACGTCTGGCTCACACACCTACAGGTGCGCAGGGAGCGAGGCAGGCAGGGGCAAGCACAGAGCTCTGTCCCAGTGATGACATCTCGATGAGGAGGGACGAGGGAGGCCCCTTTCACTTAGATCTGTTCCTGCCAAAGGCGTGGTGAGGTCACCGGCGGTAAGCAGGCAAAGTGCTGGACAGAACCGAGACGCGTCTGGGCTGATCGCCCCGCGCTGCACTGACAGCGGAAGCGACTCGCTCGCCTCAGTGCGCCCTGGCCTGAACTCCACCTCACGCTCAGTGTATCACATTTCTGCTTCACCCGAAGGCAAGTCGTTGGGG